TTTTATTAATTGGGTGGTTTCAACTTCTAGGCCATCTCTGCCAAAAGTCATCGTTTTTAAAAACTTAAAAATATAGAACACTTACAGACTTAGCATAAGTAAAACTCTCCCTAATGTCAGTCTAACTTTTTGGTTAATAACAAAGACTTCATCTCCACTATGGYCAATCAATTTAGCCTCTGTGGACAAAGTCTTGCTGCCAATATCTGTTTTCTTTATAATCTATCCTGAATATTAAAAGTTGTTTAATATTCAGGTACCTTATTTTACAACATGCACTTGGATAAAGAAGAAATTATTAAGGTTTTAAAATGAAGTAGAACAAGAAATTATAACAAGAGTAACCAAGGTCTCCAAAACCTTAAGTCTCAAAGACTTTTGCCACTAAAAGCAGCATTTGAGCAGGCATTACTACACACACACACACGCACACACACAACACACACGCACACAACACACACACACACACACACACACACACACACACAGGTCAGATTTACGGAGGTAATGCAAGAATCAAAAAATTTTATACCATTTGTATTTTCTAAGAGCTATTCCCATTGTTTTCCTCAGTATATAACAAAGGCTTAAAATATATATCCTGGATCAACAAAAACTAAAGCAATTAGTGAGACTGACTTCAGATCACCTTAAAGATTGACAACTTTTCCAGAAATGAAGATGTTAAAAGTATGAGAGAAGAAACAGCCTTCTTTTTATCTGTACTGTGTAAAGAAAAGGTATTGATTATCATTTCTTTTTTCTACTATCCTCTCTTTTTAAAAGTAATTTCTAGCATTACAGTTCCAGGTTTCTGCTCATAAATAATCATGTCAGTTGTCACTCAATTATCACTTTCAACATTTAATCTAAATTATGTTCAGCATCTTGGTTTTTTTTTCTTTCTTTGAAGTTCTTAGTTAAATTTAAAAGTCAAATTTTTTTCAAGAGTTAAGTTGATAGAAGATGGAGGCAGAGATTAAATCAGGGGGAATCATTGATCAAGGATGCTTGGAATTCTTATGAATACAAATAGCCTATCAAGGTTAATGAGGTTCAACTTGAGTTTAGAAGAAGGAAAAAAATGCACTTTTTTTCTACACATATACAGATTTAAGGTCTTAGATACAATTTGAAAGGTAAATTATGCAAACACAAATGTAGTTTCCTTCCATTTGGATTTTCTAAGAGCTATTCCCATTGTTTTTCCTCAGTATAAAACAAAGTCTTAAAATATATATTCTGGATCAAGAAAATCTAAAGCAATTAGTGAGACTGACTACAGGTCACCTTAAAGATTGACAACTCCTCCAGAAATAAATGTGCTTTTAAGAAATGACTGAATAACAAATGTTAGCTTTGAAAAAATAACTCTTAAATGTGTCTATAATATCTCAGTTAACAAACACTAATTGGGTACATAATATGGGTTAAGACATTGTGTTGAAACCCAGAGTCACATAGACACTACACTTCATTCTCAACTCATACCCATTCATGAGCTAAAAAGGGAGTAAACTCTTTAATTGATAAGTGGCTTCCAGAATGTCACAAGTTTGAATTATAACATGATGCAAACTGAAATGACCTGGAACCAAATCTGTATACAGTAACATATTAAAAAAGAAAAGAAAAAAAAAGACAACAAACCTAAAGAAACCAAATAGTAAATGTAAGGTTAAATATCAGAGTGTTTAGAAAGGAAGTATAGATTTTAAGAAAGAAAAGAGGAATACAGACAGAAAATCTAGCTGAAATAAATAGGATCCCTGGTTATAAGGAGTCTATTAAAGAGAGGTAAAGAGCAGGTGGGAAGCCTTACTACAACCATGATCAAACAGCACTTCAATATCATTATTGTTAGATTCTATGTTCACCTACAAATTTTTTGGTTTCAAGTTCCAAAACCTACATTTAAAAAATTGGAAAATTGGTGGCCTGCATGATAGAATGGTGTTTTTAAAAACCTATATRGGGCTCCCCCAGGGTAAATCCATGGACTGGCATTCATGCATACTGCACTCTTGATGTGAGCCAGTCACCTGGGTCTTATAAACCCCATGGCACAGAAAACTCATAGATGAGATAGAACCATGAAACATGATATCTCCACCAAAGGAAGGACATCAAAGGTATTCTGCCTTGGTGATAGGCAACTGGTTTTCTCCCATACCTCCTTCTCTATTTTAACCTAGATTGAAATTCTAAAGAAACATACCCAAATTACTTTTAAAAATGAGAGAATGATGCCATGAAAATATTGGCAATGTGGACAAAAGAATCTGTAGAAGGAGGGGTCACCACTTACACTTGCTATGATCCCAGAAGGCTCCAGTGGGGGGGAAAAAATCAGATATTACAGAAACAGTGAATGACTGAACAAAGCAAAGAAGATSCAAAACGAGTAGGAAAGATTAAGAGAAAAATAAATTATTGGACAAGATTATAGGAGAGTTGTCAGAACATCCATATAAAGGAAGACACGATTGAACAAATCATAAGAGCAATTATTATACAAATATTCTTGGGCCTGACAAATACTTTTTGTGTATCTTTCCCAAATATATTTGGTTTCTAAAAAGCAACTAAAGAAAACTAATTTTTATATTTTATACAATATCTAAACCAATATATAACAATAGCCCCCTACACTTTTTTTTTTTTTTTATAACAGCGGGCTAGGGATGTAGTTCAGTCATAAAACACTTGCTTAGAATGCACATGGCCCTGGGTCTGATCCCCAGTACCAAACACAGACACACACACACACACACACACACACAGAACCTAAATGGCATTCAATTAAATTTGAAGATATTCTCAACTGTTGGAGGTTACAACTGAATGACCTCTGACCTATATCTTACAGAAAGTTGGCACCAGACATCATGTTGAGAATAAAATACTCAAAGGGCTTTTATGAAGTATAGAAAATAAACAAGGCATAATCATAAGTATCACCAAATCTAAAACAACTAATATAAATTTATTTAATTATTTTACTCTTAACAGTAATAAAATCTAAACAGTAAAACTGGATATTTCCTCCAGGAGTGAACACTGTCTTTTTGTGCTATCATTTTTCCAATGGCAACTGGGGGAAAAAAAAAATTTCTTTCATTTCCCAAAAGGAATTTGACCTTAGAAGCAAGGCAAACTCAAGAACTTTCAGCATCAGTTTTAAAATGTCAACAGCAAGAAAGGAAATCAGCTAAGTTTTCATTCACTACTATGGTGCCAGCGCCTAGGACGGTACCTGACATGTCACAGCCAATAACATTGGATATATAAGTAAAAACCGCTTATAAACTGATTTTCAAATCCAAGCCCTATAATCCAATCCAAACTAATGCAAGAGAACACGAACTCTTTCCCTAATCTGTGTGAAAATGACTATTAAGAACAAAGGAAATCTACGATTCTTGAATGAAATCATTAGTAGGCATATATATATGGCTAGTAAAATATATATATATATAATATATGCCTACTAATTATCTCATTCAAAATATATATATATATATATATGTATATGTATATGTATATATATACATATATATTTTTTTCCCCCTTTGGTACTGGGGATTGAACCAGAGGCACTTAACCACTGAGCCAGCCCTTTTTACATTTTTATTTTAAGACAGCTTCTCAATAAGCTGCTTAGGTTCTTGCTAAGTTGCTGAGGCTGGCTTTGAACTCACAATCTTTCTGCCTCAGCCTCCCATGCCACTAGATTTTCAGGTATGCGCCACGGTGCCTGGCTAAATAATTTTTAATATCTATGCATTTCAGTTCTTTTATTCCAATTTATACCATAAGAAACCATGAGAAAAAAAGGAATAAAAAGGAAGGACCAACATGGGTTTAACAACAGTTACCAAAGGAACTCTTCTGCCTTTGATATTTATTAGCATCGTTTTTTTAAAAATACTTTACTTCAGTAAAATAATCACACTTTAGTACTTTCATCAGCAGGCTTAGTGGCCACAATAATACTTATGAAGCAAACTTCATACAGTTACCACTGCTCTAAACTATTTCTGATAATTATTTATCAAACATGTGGAGGGCTGTGTAAAGAGTATGTCAATATTTCATTATCTTTACAATCTGAATCTTGAACCAAATATAAAAGACATTTTYCTATTGATATGCTGACAAGATGAAAGAGAAACAGACTAGAGTAACATTAAATATTTCCTTTGGGTTATATAAAGTTAGATACTTTTGTTATAATTTTGAAAGTACTTCACATGAATCAACTATTACATATAGAATATTGCACTAATAAAAACAAATACAGAGGAGGACTGATATATATTTATTTCCAAATGTGTCATCCACATTGATCTAATTTACTTACTTATAATTGGAATTAATCCATTTCCTATATAAAGTCCTTTCCTTTGATTTTTAATATATTCTGATAATTACCTCATCTATGCTAGATAAAAGGGAAGAAACATAGCTGCCTAGCTACAGTTAATTCATGGCTCCCACATCATTCATGATTACTATACTACTATATATATTATTGTAATACATGGAGGSAACAAAACTTCATCTCATGCAGAACTAGAGATCTGAACATCTTTATGGCTCCAAAAAAGAATATCAGTAATTCTTTTTGCTATGCATTCTGCCACTTTCAGCACAAAAATAAATAATAATTCACTGCTGTCTCAGAGGAAAAAAGTCCCTTCCTTCTGTAGAAAGGGCTTGACTGCTAATAAAACAAAATATTTTGAAGTTTAATAGTAAAAATTTCACCAGGAAATAATGAAGTTTGAAAAAAATTCCAGCTCCTAATTTTGGAGTATCAAATGAAAGAAAATGAATCCATAGGAATTTCTATACACAAGTTATTTCATCAGCAGCATAATTTTACATTATCTATCCCCAAATAAGACTTCACAAAATAATGTCTTTATATGAAAATTTTGTTAAGCAATTCTACTAAAATCTTTCAAATTTTTTCAACTTAAAATTTGCAAAGTCACCTCTATTTGTGCTGCCAAACTTGCTTTCTCCTTCTCTTTTCGCTCCATGCATCGCTTCACTTCCTCTAACTCAGATGCCACTGCATTGAAGTTCAGCTGCATTCTCAAATCTGACATCTGCTTCTCCAAATCACGTTTTTCTGGCTCTACCCCTTAAGAAAGAAAACATAAATTTCAGTGGTTGTTCTATATTCACAGAAGAATGTACTTTCAATGGTACTAAACTCTGGTGTGTTACTATTAAAACACTTACTCAACAAACCTTTCARCCTTCATCAATCTATTGTTTCAAGTCTCAAAAGGTTTCAAAGATATAAACATTGCAGTCCCACCAGCAGTGTATGAGTGTACCTTTTTCCCCACATCCTCACCAACACTTAYTGTTGTTTGTCTTCATAATAGCTGCCACTCTGACTGGATTGAGATGATATGTTAGAGTGGTTATGATGTGTATTTCTCTAATTACTAGTGATGATAAACATTTTTTCATATATTTGTTGATTGATTGTATATAATCTTCTGAGAAGTGTCTGTTCAGGTCCTTGGCCCATTTATTGATTGGGTTATTTGTTTTTTTAGTGCTTTGTTTTTTGAGTTCTTTATATACCCTAGAGTTTTAGTGGTTTATCTGATGTGTGAGGGGTAAAGATTTGCTCCTAAGATGTAGGCTCTCAAAGAAGTATGGAGATTTCTTGGAAAATTGGGAATAAAATCACCATTTCACCCAGCTATCCCTCTCCTCTGTCTATACCAAAAGGACTTAAAAAACAGCATACTACAGGGACACAGCCACATCAATATTTATAGTAGCACAATTCACAATAGCTAAATTGTGGAACCAACCTAGATACCCTTCAGTATATGAATGGATAGGGAGACTTACACAATGGAATATTACTCAGTATTAAAGGAGAATAAAATCATGACATTTGCAGGTAAATGGAATGGAGTTGGAGAATAATGCTAAGTGAAGTAAGCCAATCCCAAAAAACCAAAGGCCAAATGTTTTCTTTGATATGAGGATGCTGACTCATAATGGCAATGGGTGGGGAGCATGGGAGGAAAAGACGAACTCTGGATAGGACAGCAGGTTTGGARGGGAAGGGAGGGGGCATGGGGATAGAAATGAGGGTGGAATGTGATGGACATCATTATGCAAAGTACATATACGAAGACATGAATGGGTGTGAATATACTTTGTATACAACCAGAGTTATGAAAATTGTGCTCTATGCATTCCGCTGTCATATATAAATAAAAGAGTGAACAGAGATTTAAAAAAAGATATAAACATTGCTACATCAACCAATATTTTACTTTAGTACTAAATTTAAAGTGTTATCTGATGTCTAGCATGATTTATTTCAGAAAACCCTAAACATTTTTTTCTTTAATTTTCTCCAAATCTCCACATTATCTTCAAATTTTTAAASAAAAATATTAAAAGAATTTTCAGCCAAGCTACTATATCTAACTGAAGTTACTGAAGCTTATACAASAAAATGCTTTTCCTGCAACATAAACAGCAGATGATACTGCTAAATCCTTGCCAGTGTAGGACTATCCATTTACTAATTCTTACTAGTTCTAGAGACTATGACCTGAAATTATAACATCAAACACTGCAAACTAACTTAGCATTTAATTCAACATGAAATACTTAGTCTATGATACACAGGTTCCTATAATATCTTGTTCTTTTTCTATCACAAAAATGAGTACATAACAAGCTCATCCTCAATGAGCTTGCATTCCAAGAATAGGACATAAATTATCACTGTACTCTAAAATGCCAGCTATTGGAATATCAATTCAAAACTACCATTTTCCTAGTATTTTCTTCCAGAAAATAAAGGAATAAAGGGAGAAAACATTACCAATCAAATTTTTACATCATTCATAAACTACATCCCAGCTTCAGAAGTTCAAAACTATATACATGAAGGAATGGAAGACAGGCAGGCTTTTCAATAGCATGAGAACAAACCCATGAGAATCACTGACAAGACAGTGCAAAGGAGRACAATATAAAATTCCACCAAGCAAATAGAAATGGAGTTGGGGTGTTATTTTAGGAAAAAGAAACAGCATAAAGTGCATGGGTTCAAAAGTAGATTTAATATTCACTTAATAGTTTGATATGGTTACCACAAATGAGAGTAGGAAAAGGAAGAGGCAAAGAGGCAGATGGGAGATTATGCATTGCGTAGAAACTTAGAATTTATCCTAAAGGTAGGATTATCAAACATTATTCTTTTTTATTTTTTTTTAAAGAGAGAGTGAGAAAGGAGAGAGAGAGAGAGAGAGAATTTTTAATATTTATTTTTTAGTTCTCGGCGGACACAACATCTTTCTTTGTTGGTATGTGCTGCTGAGGATCCAACCCGGGCCGCACGCATGCCAGGCGAGCGCACTACCGCTTGAGCCACATCCCCAGCCCCATCAAACATTATTCTAAAGTTGATAAAAGTTTCCTGAAAAGGATAAGATAATAAGTAATTTAACCATAAGCTCTATGTAACAACTCCTCAATTCTGTCATTGTATTGCAAAAGTAGCCAAGATAGTGTGTAAATGAATGGGAGTACCTGTGTTCCAATAAAGTTTATTTACAAAAGCAGGTAGCAGTCTGAATTTGGCCATGGTCCCTACTGCACCTACTCTTACTAGGTCTCCAACCTAAAATTGTATAGATACAMTTGTTTACCTGTAAATGCAATTGCTGATTTTATGTATTCACTCATTTTATTAATACACTTTACATATGTACATATGTACATGCATATGTCTCATGTATATATTGATACATAACATTAAAATGGATGTACACTAATAAACATTACATAAAAATGTGTAGGCACAAGTATACATACATATACAAAGATCCATATGTACACCTTATGAAAGGTACATAATTGGGGTGGGGACATATTATATATGCTTCATAATATATATACATAAAGATGTTAGTATGAATAAATACACATACATATACATATTAATGAAAGATTTGGCAAAATTAAAATACTTAAAAYATAGAGAATGAAATATAAGTACTATTACAAACATTTTCCTTTCACATTCAGAGGACTGTCTCATCATTGCATTCTGGAGAAAACCAACCTGAGCTAGAGTAGGATAGCAGCTAAAATCTCAAGTTTGGGGAAGAAAAGATTTGGGTCTGTGTAACATTTGGATGCSCTCTCAAAACAAACTCATTTTGATTTGCCATCCTAATAGTATTAAGATGTAGGACCTTTAAGAGGTGATTAGGTCATGATGGCTTCAATCTCATGGATGGGTTAATGCCATTATTGTAGGAGCAGGTTCATTATCATGAAAGTGGCTTTGTTACATGAACTATCCCATCAGCTTTTTCACACACTGATTCTCTCACAAACACAATTGTGTTTCCCTCTCTTACATGTTGTCTTGTTCCTGCCTTCTTTGCTCTTTGGAGAAAATAAATGGAAAAAATAATATAATGGAAACATTTCTTGAACTTGATTGAGACCACTAGAAACCAAGCAAAGTCAATTTCAGAAGCAAAGGCAGAGCCAATTTTACAGCAAACAAAGGAACAAACAGAAGCCACAATGTGACAGTATGATTTCTTCCATAGAACGGTCTTTAAACAATGAAAGTATACAATGAAGTTAAAAACTCTAGAATTCCCCTTTATCATTGATAAGAGAACTCACAGAATTTTTTTAAATCTTGATAAGTTTTTTTTATTTGTTTTTTTGTTTTTGGGGGTGTTTTGTTTGTTTGTTGTTTTATGTGTGTGTGTGTGTGTGTGTGTGGTGCTGGGGATTGAACCCAGGGCCTCATGCATGCAAGACAAGAACTCTACCAACCAAGCTATATCCCCAGCCCAAGATACATTTTTTCAAAAATATTTCTTTTAAGATGGACACAATTATATTTATTTATTTTATTTATTTTTATGTTGTGCTAAGGATCAAACCCATTGCCTCATATGTGCAAGGCAAGCGCTCTACTGCTGAACTATAACCCCAACCCCCAAGTTACATTTTTATATTCCTCCAAGATGCTCACCAAGCCAACCATGAGCCTCCCAATTCTCCGGGAGGCTGAGGCAGGAGGAATACAAATTTGAGAATAGCCCTAAATAAGTTAGTGAGACATTGTCTCAAAATAAAATTTTTAAAAAAGGGCTGGTGATATAGCTGAAAGGTAAGGCACACTTGGATTCTATTTCAAGTACAAAAAAAAATGTAAACTAAAAACAACTAGATTTTATGTGGTGTCAGAACATATCGAATTTGCCACACTCTTTTCCCCAAAATGAGTTCCTAGTTCCTATGTGTATATTTATGAAAAATTTGAGTAATAATCTAATAGCTAAGAATTTAACTTTAAATATCTGATGTCAAATGATATTTATAATATCATAAGAAACAAGTGACTACTGGTATACAAATATATTAACATAGCTTTGTCAAGTTTGTTATCCATTGAAGATTTTCTAGCAATGAGTAATTTGAGTTTAGGCAATGTCCTGAGATATATTTGGGAAGCCTAAGGACATATTTACCTTCCCTGAATTTAATTTTATATTGAATGTTTATAAGAATTTCTCCAGGGTTTGGGGGCATAGTTCAGTGGTGGAACACATGTTTACCAAAACCAAGGCTCCTGGAATGGGTCTCTAGCACCACAAAACCAAAACAAAAGGATTGTACCATAATTTCTGTATTTGAATGGGAAGTCCACACTCTGAATTAAGATCTCCACTGAGAAAGTATTTAAATACAAAAGAAAAACTTGGTGATATGGCTCATGACCAATTCTGAAATTTTGTCACCAATATCTAAATAAAAAAATAAGGGGCTGGGGTTGTAGCTCAGTGGTGGAGCACTTGCCTAGCATGTGTAAGGCGATGGGACTGATCCTCAGCACGATAGATAGATAGATAGATAGATAGATAGATAGATAGATAGATAGATAGAGTGAAGGTGTTGTGTGCATCTACAACTAAAAATATTTTTAAAATAATATAGAATCATAATTTTAATTGATCATATTTTAAAAATTATGAGAAAGGAAAGTGAAACATACAAGTTTATTTATAATTTAAGTGTACACACACACACACACACACACACACACACACACACTTAYGTCTGGAATAGWAAAACTGAAAAACCTCCATTACTGCCTTTGCAGGCTCTAAGAGAAAGAGCCATGAAATAAGCAAGTATGAAAATCAAACTAGGTTTACAAATCAAGCGTAGAAGGCATTAAAATTGGTTGCTACATAAGAGAAACTTGCTGAAAAACATTTTAGTAGATCAAAAAACAGACAAGATGACATAAGCACAACATGAGGAATACAATTTGGAGAATAGGAAACTAACACATTGACAAATCAGAATTTATACCTCTCCTAAACCTCCAGTCATCTCCTTGTTCATCCTGATACATTGATTGTTGCTTGGAAATCTGAGATACTTGATGTTGTAAACCCTTCCGATCACCTTCTGCTTTTGTAAGTTGTGTACGCAGTTCTTCTACCTAAATTCATTAAGWMAAAAATAAAACTTTTATTCKTTTCTAAATACCAGGAAAAATTTGAACTTGAAAATTATTAAAAAATTATTTCCCTGGGCAAAAAAAAAGAAATAAATAATAATCACTTCTGAAGGACCCAACACAGTTGAAACCAAGTTAATCTCCTTTCTACAGCAAACACAGCAGAATAGTCTTCAGCTCTATTTTATCATCTTTCCATTCCTTTCACAAAGAATGTATTTTTTTAATATTCTTTAGTTGTTGATAGATCTTTATTTTTTTTAATACATGGTGCTGAGAATCAAACCCAGTGCCTCACATATACCAAGCATGTGCGCTACCACTGAGCCCCAGCCCCAGCCCCAAGAATGTATTTTACTTCTCTGTATCCACTGTAACAAAGAATCTGACCACACTGTTTGTGTGTTGAGCACGGTGCCTTCACATTGGAGGGTAGAGGGAGTGGGGATTTTCTGGGAATTGAACCAAGAGCCTTGGTTATAAACTCAAGTAACACCAGGCATGGTGGCACACACCTGCAATCCCAGCAGCTTGGGAGTCTGAGGCAGGAGAATCATGAGTTCAAAACCAGCCTCAGCAACTTAGAGAGGCCTTAAGCAACTCAGGGAGACCCTGTTCTCTAAATAAAATTTTAAAAAGGGGATCTGAATGTGGTTCAGTGGTTAAGCACCTATACAAAAAAAAAAAAAAAAAAAACAATAAAACTCAAATGAAGTGATGATCATGATTAGCATATTTGACATCAAAATAGAGCTCAAAATGAGTAAGCAATAGATGCAGTTGAATGAACTAAAATCAGGAACTGTTTTATTCATTCTTACATTGCTAGAGAAAGACTAGCAAATTGCCTTCCAATTAACAGGCACATTTCCAATAACCATAAACAAGTTAGCGGTGTCAAAGAGTTTCAGCCAAACTCACAGTGACAACCTGAACAAAGAAATCTCTAGCTTCAAAAACTGAAATGAGAGATTACAAATCAGAGTTCAAAAAAAATGTTTAGGATAAATTGACTACAAATACAAGCATCCATAAAAGAAATTCTCTGAATTCCGTTAACATTAATTCCATGTGACCACTAACTCCAGAACAAAGTCAATGAACATTTGTAAAGGCTTTGTAAAACAGGTGCCAAGGTGTATTTTCAGCACCAATTGTCAAAACATAAAACTCCTTTTGAACATCTATGATGCCTGACATCTTTGCCTACAGAGCATCTTGTGTAGGTAAGTTATGTAATGCACACCTCAAAACAGAAGAAGGAACAATTGCAGTTTGTGTTAAACACAAGCAGAGAGGCAGTGAGAAACCCATACACCCTTATCCAATGTATGTAAGATGGCTATTTTAAAGTTATTGAACTTTAAATATCAGAAGCACTAAACTTCCATTATAGGCTAATGGACTGCAAAATATTATGCTTAAAATGTAAGCCTTATCTTTGCTTAAAAGAGGTCAGGTAGCACCTTGAAAACATGAATAAAAAACAATGATGTATTCAAAACAACCTGATCATGTAAACRTCTGTTTTAGGTATTTCAACTTCCTCCTTTATTCTCCAATGCCTCCTTGAATAAAATTAAGCTCCCAGGAAAATTTTATCTTACACATCCAGTCTTACTCTTACACTGCTCGTGCTAAGAGAGATAAGTCCTAAGTTGGAGCGGCAATTGGCAAGATACATTTTCACAGTGGGAACCTGGGCTAGTGTTTTGTATAAGCTTTTTCTGAATCTTCATCTTTTGCTTATATGTGCTAACATACATTCCTTAGGGAGGAAAATTTTCTAGACCTAGTTTTGTTCTTTTTTTCATTTCACAAAGACACTTAAAGAGGAGACCCAATATAAAAGATTGCCATAGTTTGCACAGACTTACCTGATGTAAAAGTGTTTCTCTGTTGCCTTCTGACTGATTCAATAACCTGCGAGACAGCTGCAATTCCTGTTCAAGCTAGAGATTCAACAAGGAATAAAAATATGTCCAATGGGGCACAATTTAAAAGGAAAACAGCAGAAAAGTTTTCAGGAGATATTTGCATTTAATAAGAAAGAATAAATATCTCAACATAAACATGTATCAATACTTCCATTAAAATAATAACATAAAGTATGCTACACAGGCCACCTAGAGGTCTGAAATGTAGTCATTTCCATCTCAACTGTGACCTGTTTGAGTCTCTTCTCCTTGGGCCTTGATTCATCACTAAAATAAGAATTTTATATTAGACAGTCTCTTCTTGAGATCTCTTCTAGTTCTAAATCATTTTAATCTCAATTGTAAAGCAATTTTCCTTTAAATTAGAAGATGTAGTGTCAAAAGAACTAAATTAGAATAAAAACTGCAGGGACCTAATAATTCAAAGTACATTTCATCAAATGTAATTTCTTATTCTCCTAATATTCATAAGATATTCCTAATTTTTTTAAATTTCTACTTTTAGTAAAAAGCGTTTAAAATCTCATTAACAATATTGCCATTAGATAAATATCTACAGAAAATGTGGCCACTTAGTTGACTAAATACCCTACAAAGTCTGAATATGCTTTAATTTCAATTTGAAAAATATACTAACATCAAAAATGAGCTCAGTAGTTTTTCAAAATTCTGAAAAAACACTGCCAATTTATAGAAACATGTTTCTTACATTATCATTACCTTGTGAAATTTTATCATAAAAATTTAGAGCTTACATATGCAATACTCTTTTATTTTTTAACAATAAGGTTATTTTCTAAAATCAAATTTTATTAAGATGTTTTTTAGCAATTAAGATTTTTAATAGTTGTCCTAAATAATTATTTCATTTGAACAAACTGCTATCTATATTAGCAGTCCTTTAAAAATTGGACATGATAGGTGTGCTTATCAAGGAGCTTGAGAGAACCTCCCAGTGACAGAACAGTCCTGTATCTTGATTGTGGCAGTGGTTGACAACAGTCTTCACAGGAGGTAAGAATAGGTAGAAAAACACAACACACAAAGGCATGCACATAAAGCTGGCAAAATCTGCATAAACTCTGGATTATACCAACAACTTCCTGGATTTGCAAGCAAGTGGTAATTACACAAAACATTATCACTGAGGGAAAATTGGGTAAAAGGTGAGTGGGAGCTTTGTTTTGAAACATCCTATTACCCTAAATCTTTCATTTCAAAATGAATTTTTAATCAAGCCTAAATATTTTTTAACAAATTATGCATATGGCCCATAAAGTGAATGCCATATTAAAAAATGTAAAGTGCATGTAGTATCAAAATCCATACAAAATACTGTCCAATCTGTTCTCTCATTTCTGTGAAAAAAAAAAAGAAGGAGAAAGAAATCATACTTTAGTCAAAATGCCTTTGAAATCAAGCTGGACCCATATTGGTCAGAAACTCTATGTAATATCAGCAGTCCCAATCCCCAAGTGTAGACTCCAGATTCTAACCTGCAATTCACAGACATAAATCTGCATAAGTTCTATGGATTAGATGAATGCCAATTTTCTGATTTTGCTATYGAATGTGAATTATACAAAACATTACCAGTGAGGAAAAAATGGATGAAAGGTGCACAGGAACTTTATTGTAAAACAACAAATTTATGTCAAAGGTCCTTAATATCTAATGAGAATAGAAAATATTTTAAAAGTAATCTGCTAACTATACCTACCTGCTATAGTGAAAGTGAATATATATAAAATAGCAAGCATTTAAACAATAGATCCTTCCTAACACTACAACAAAGTCAGGTCCTTTAAATGTTCYCCAGGGAGGAAAGGTAAAGTTTAATTTACTTCTCAAAAACAAGAGTAGACACAGATGACAAGGTAGCAAATGGCCTGTGTATGTTTTCAAAAGCAAGAAGTAAAGAGTATCACAGTCATCAAACCAAGCAACTTCACATGAAAGCACTGAGCCCCCACTGTGTCCTAATAAATCATCTCAGAGACACTCTTCTATAGCCACTCAACAAACATCACAAATTCCAAACCACATTATTATTTGAGATGATTTTCAAACTCTTACTTGACTCTTCTCCGTTTCAGTTTGTTTTAGCTTATTTTTCATTTCTCCCTCATTCTCATCTGTTTTAGCTTCTTGTTTCTTCAATGCCTAGAATGAAAGTGGTTGGAAAAAATGTATTATTTGAGAAAATGTATAAAACTGAAAATCCTTACTAGGATTTATTAAGAAAAGGCTGAGAAGGATATTGTTATGAATCACACAAAACCTATAAATGAATTACAACTTGCTCATTCACTGAAACCCTAAGAACGCTTTAATGGAGATCAAATATAAACAACTGCCTGATCTTTCTAATCATTTTCCACCTAGTTTTATCCATTCCCTGTCACCTTTGGGAATTGTGTTATACATTTAGAGAGTCTAGACAGCATAACAGTTATCTTAGAAGCAAAGTGTACGGCCTTCTGAAATAACACTATTTAAATACGTGATCTGCTCAGATTTTTAGACCTAACACCAAAAATGAGCTCAGTAGTTTTTCAAAATTCTGAAAAATCACTGCCAATATTATAGAAACATGTTTCTTACAATATCATTACCTATGTGACATTTTATCATAATACATAAATGGTTATTTAAACTATACTTCACATAGAGAAATCATTCTTTTCTATAGTTTCCCCTCTTTAATAAAATGGGGGAAAAAGAACATTAAGAAAATACAAATTTCAAAAGTTAACCACAAAATTATTTGCCCCAGTTTGTTTTTATTTTAAAACAAAATTAAACTTATGGGAAAAAATTATACTTTGGCATAGTATTTCATTATATCTAAATGGTATTCCATTTAATTTYTTTTTCAGAAATTTAGCAACTGGACTTAGCAAGGTGCATATGTAAAGGCCACACACAGTGAGAAAAGCCAAACTGCCTAAAGTCTTTTTCAACAGATTCAATAGAAAAATAAATTTTAGGCAAATAGCAAGACATATTGAAATCTGCTTTGATACCTGAATTCCAATCATTATCAATTTCATTAATTTACATATTTAACATGTATCATTTCTAAATCTATTTACTATTAATTAGGGGCTACTAATATATTCATATGTACAACAAATATATCCCCTACTCATGAGATGAGCACCCTTTACCACAGCTCCTACTGCCACTACTAAAACAGCTATTGAGTAAAAAGGCAGAGAAGCATCATTGAAATAGAAAATAATTTTGATGAATATAACCTTGTAACATTTTTACAGTGTTTCATATGCCCAGGCACTTTCTTCTTACATATACTCAATGCATACTATAAGACAGTGGTGTAGACCAAGTAATTTGATACTTCTAAGGCACATAGGTCAATATCTGGCACATAACAAATGAGAAATAAAAGTCAAGAACTATCATAACTGGATTATTGCATTGATAAAGCTAAAACTCATAATGCCTTGCAGGTCATTATCAACTCATTTTAATGTTTGGTATTTTGTCTTTATCGTACACTAAATGGAATTTAAAATAATACTTAATTCTAAATCATAATGTATTCAGTGTTGGCTGATGGAATATGTTTATAGATTTTACTTCCTGAACAAAATGCTAGAAATTTAAAACTTAYTACTGCATCTTTATTTTCTGTGATTCTTTCATCTTTTCTACACCAAGTGACCCAATGTGTGTGTATATGAGAGAGAGAAATGTAAAAATGTGATATAAAGAAGCTGTTGTTGACTTTTTTTAATCAATTCATTCTAAAAATTTTCAACTGTCTTATTTCACGCCATAATCCTTCCAACCTGCCCCATTTTTTAATGTTAAACATAATCAGTTATCTTGCTTTTCAATACTTTTCCACTGAACTAAAACCAACATGGGCTTTTCTATAAAGGGGTGACGAGGAAGAAGACTTCTTCAGGTATGTAGCTTCATGGAACTCTAGTCAGTCTGGATTTGAGTTCTGKAGCAGAAACCACTCCAAATAAGTACACAATAAAGGCTTGGCAAGATCAGGTGAGGTCATGTTGAGGCCACACGTGAAAGGAAGGAATAGACAACTCCAAATAAGAAGGGATGGTCCCAAAAAGAGTTCTTCCGTTCCAAAAATGAGTTCAAAATCTATAACCTTCAAACAGTAGTTGCTAAAATGAAGTGGTCCCTCCTATGTGATTCTGAGCATTTTTTAATGTCCCTCTTCTTATTAGTGTTAGTGAAGTAGGAACAGCCACATGCTGAGCTTTTAAAACTTGACCTAACTTCATGCTGCAACTCAAGAGTTTAATTTACCTAAGAATTTAAACTCCAAAAATTTTCCAATGAAGGTTTTCTAGCTTACTAACTATAATTAATCCCTTTCTGTCCCTTCCCAGGATCTCCAAAAATTAAATTTAACAACTGTAACATTTAACATTGGAAAGAAAACAAACAGTGTAGTGATGATTAAAGAAAATATTTATTGGGATGGGGTTGTGGCTCAGTGGTAGAGCGCTTGCCTAGCATGCGTGAGGCACTGGGTTCAATCCCCCACACCACATAAAAATAAACAAATAAAATAAAAGTATTGTGTCCATCTACAGCTAAAAAAATATTTTTAAAAATATTTATTTTTGTGTTTACGTTAAATAGGTAATAACTTTTTCCCATTTTAAGAAGTTAACACTTTAGTCTTTAGGGGAAAAAAAAAGTGTTACTGATTGCGTTTTAAATCTTATTTTGAAATAATGTACTATTAACATAAGAGTTGTAAAGATTGTTCAGAGTTCCCACCTACCCTTCACCAAGCTGTCCCTAAAATTAACATCTGACATAACCATTGTACTTTCACCAAAACCCAAACATTAATATTGTTACAAAACCATTAAGCTATAAATTTTATTCAAATGTCACTGGTTTTTTCACTAATATCCTTTTTTATTCCAATATCTACCAATGATACTACATTGCATTTTGTTAGCTTGCTTCCCTGTCTGTGAAAATGTCTTAGTTTTCCCTTTTTTTATAATCTCAACATTTTAAAAGAATATTGGTCAGGTATGTGGTAGAATGTCCCCCAATTTGTGGTGCGACCACTTTGGAAAGTAGTATGGAGATTCTTTAGAAAACATGGAATGGAATCACCATTTATCCCAGTTATCCCACTCTTTAGTTTATACCCAAAGGACTTAAAATCAGCATACTACAGTGATACAGTCACATTAATTTTTATAGCAGCTCAATTCACAATAGCCAACCTATAGACAAATCTAGGTGCCCTTCAACAGATGAATGGATAAAGAAAACGTGATATATAATACATACACACACACACACACACACACACACACACACACACAATGGAATATTACTCATCCATAAAGAAGAATGAAATTATGGCATTTTCCATTAAACGGATGGAACTGGAGACTATCATGCTAAATGAAATAAGACAGTTCCAAAAAAAATCAAAGGCTGAATGTTCTGATATATAGATGTGAACCCACAATAAGGGAGGATGGGGAGGGAAAGAATAGAAATCCATTGGATTGAACAAAGGGGAGTGAAAGGGAAAGGAGGAGGAATGAGAATAGGAAAGATAGTAGAATGAACTGAATATAACTTTTCTATCCTTATATATGAATATACAACCAGGGCAACTTAACATCATGTACAAGAATAGGACCCTAATTAGAATAAGTTATACTCTATGTATGTACAGTATTTCAAAATACACTCTACTATCATGTATCTAAAAAGAACAAATTTTTTTAAAAAGTCTTCCAATTTGGTTTTGTTTGATGTCTTGTCATGATTGGACAGTGCACATAAATACTTCTGGTGGGTAGGGGCAGAATACTATAGTCTTAAAATCCCCTTTTTACTGCACTACATTGCAGGGTCAGTGACTAGTAATGATAACCTGAGCCCTTGAATAAGGTAAGGTGGTGTCAAATACAAACTTTTCATATTGTATTTGTAAGTAGAGTCATTAAGTCCAGTGCACACAGTCAAAGTTTAGAGAATTAATCTCTACCTCTCAGAGAAAGAGTATCAAGGAAGGTWTTAAAATAGGTTAAAACCACCACAGCAATTATATTGGAAGATACTTTGAGATCAGCATAAAATATAAAAAGTTTCACCCATAAATTGTAGGTCAGGGCCAGACCCACACAGTTCATAGTAGAAGCTACTTTGTCCTTTTTTAATCTAGAAAAATTTACCCCATCAGACCTTACAGTTTAGTCTAATGCCAGGTTTCTAGTAAGTTCACTCACAGGCCAGTGCCTACCAGTACACAAATTGTTGAACCTGTTTATACACCCCCCCAAAAATAATATGCTCATACCAAAATCATTAATGAACGGTCTAGAAATTACAAATAAGACTACATAAAGAGATGGAGTACACTCATCAAACCTCCATCAAACATATCTGTTTTCTTAATTCAGCTCAGCTATTCCACACTCATAAGGGATTCTTGGCCATCTCACTACTGGGTTTCTCTGCAGCTTCTAGCCCTTCACCACAGGTCACAAGCTATCAAWTTTGAACATCTAAACCCATAAATACCAACTCCCTCATTCCTCTACCYTATAAAGAAAAGATTCATCACTTATAACAGGATCCATTCTCTTTAAAGGGCAAGTTGGGAAGTAATTACCTTTAATCTTCACACTAATAGATATTTATTCCAATCTCCATTTCTCATAATCATTTTACTTAGCATTTAAGGAATTTAAAAAATCAATAAGCTGAACCTTAATCAAATTATATTTTATATCTAAATATAAAAGACTTATACTCTATATCAGCATCATTCTTCTGAAAGTCAACTGTCTGTTTTTTTTTAATTAAAAAAGTCCATATTTGAACTGGCTCAATAAAAGGACCTCTAATTCTCTTGGATACACAGGAATATCCTAAAATAATCCTGTATTATCCCATTCTTCCTCACTTTCCACCTGTCACCATCTGATCAGCTACTTATAATAACTCTTTTCCAGAACATGTTTCTGTTGAAGCCCTACTAACTGCCTGAAACTTTATTTAACACTCTTTTTTATTTATCCTTTTACTCTAAGCATTTGTAAGTCTTCGAAAATTTAGTCAATAAGAACTTAAATTCTGATTGCCATTAGGTGGAATCCCGCCAGCCAAGCCCAC